GATAACCGTTCCCGATCTCCACGCATTGAGTCCACCTTGTAAACCTATAGTGAATGGTATAGGTTCTGTTTCAGCTAGATTGGGTGAATATCTTGATAAATTTCTTCAGATTAGTGTGGTACAAACTAAAGCCTTTTTAAAAGATACTAAAAATCTGCTTCAATTAATACGTGGCATTAAATTAAGTACAACAAAAGTTTATTTAGTAAAAGCCGATGTATCATCTTTGTATACTATAATAGGTCATGATGATGCATTGTTGACTTTAAATTGGGCCTTGAGCAAAAGAGAGGATCTTCCACATATACAAAAAGTTTTTCTTGGGAAAGGCTTTGGATTTCTGTCTCAAGCGTAATTATTTTTGGTATAATAATATGTTTTTCAATCAATTGAGTGGTGTTGCTATGGGAGCAAACTTTGCTGCCACTTTGGCCAATATTTTTATGGCCGAGTGGGAGGACAGATTTTTCTTCCAACACCACAAACCCGAAATAATATTCTACATAAGATTTATTGATGACTTACTGGTCATTTAGGAGGGGGGTCAGAATCAGATTTACATCAGTATATGACCACACTAAATAATAATAAAAACCATATTAAATTGGATTATCCGTGGAGCAAAAGTTCCATTGATTTTCTGGATGTTACCATAGAAAGAAAAGAGGATGTATTTTTTAAAAACCCACAAAGAGGAATAGCTACCTGTCAGGTTAACATGGTTAAAAAAAATCCCTCCAGGACAATCTATGCGTATTAGAAGAAATTGCTTGTATGATAAGGATTATATTTCTCAATCTCATATTATTTCGAAAAGGTTTGCACAAAAGGGTTATTCCCTGCACTTTCTGGATCGATCAGGTTATGCAGGATGTTCTGGAAATACCTAGAGAAACTTGTTTAGTAGATCAGAAAAGAATAAATAATGACAGTCATCAATGAAATTTTTTGTCTGATTACCATTGTCAATATAAAGAAGTTGAATATATCATATACACTGGCATGTTTTATTGATGGATAAAACTTTAGGACCTATTATATCGAGGTCACCTAGATTCATTTATAGGAGAGCACGGAATTTTGGGGACAGAGTTGTTCAAAAAATTATAGATGTTCCAAAGAAAATTTCCATGTTCCCTCAAAATACAATAGGACTTGAGTTCATAATTCCTGAATACACTACATGTGAGACCACCCATGTGGTCTATGCTTTACAATGTCCGTGTGGTCTAATATATATAGGTCACACCAAACGCTCCTTAAAAGTACGAATTGCAGAACACATCAAAAACATCAAAATAGGATTTAAACATCATAATGTGTCTGAACAAAAAAATCCTGCCATGTTGAAGTTTTGGGGTGTAGATTGGATTCCCCCTAAATGGAGGGGATCAAATAGGGTTAGAGACCTGTCAAAGAGGGAGACAAAATGGATTTTCCTGCTAAAATCTTTAACACCGGGTGCTTTGAATGTGGAACTGGACATAAACTGCTTCATAAGTGGTTTGTAATAAATCTGCTTAATGGAGTTTTTTATGCTCTGTAACTACTTTATTAGTGATATAATGGGACAGCATAGTGGAATTATTGATTGAGGGTTAAAATTATTTACTGCTCTAATTTTTTTTATTTCAAATTAGAATTGTTTTATTAAAATATTTACATATATAACTTTTAATGTTAATTTAATATAATTTTATTTGATTTAATAAAAGTAATTAATTTTTATGTGAATTTAATATGAATTTATATGTATAATTTTATATGATTTTATATGAATTTTTATTTATTTTATTGTTAAATATGCAATATACTAGTTGCCATTCAAGCCCAGCGATGTTAATACCTAAATATATGTTTGGGATTATAATTAAAAGTTCAACTTATATATTTTTGGGTAAAATATTATATATCCAGTGCCAAATTATGGGAGGGTTATCCCGCTCATTGGTGGCATAAGAAGTATAATTAAGTTCTGGTTAATTTGCCCTCCTGTTGTAGGTATATGGTAATGCATTTCAGCCAATACATGGGCGGAAGTGTGAAGCAGGAGGGATCAGTAACGATTAGCCTATCAGGGGCTCCGTTACATTGATTGAACACACCATAAAGGTGTTACGCTGCACTGCACAGCCATCCCCTATGAATAAGTCAGAAGTGACGAAATGCGTCAGTGCGAGGCTGTGCGGCAATCAGAAGTGACACGGACCGGAATTGGAAGTGGCGAGGAAGCGCCTGAGATCGACGGCCGGCAGTGGTGAGAGCACTGTTCCGGCTTTCCTCTCATAAGTAACTCAAGCAATCAATATCTTTGGGCTTTAATTCTATTTGCATTTTTTAAGTCACATTCTACTGTGGCGAATAAATGTTTTAAATGGTTCTGCACCATGTGGGGTTCTCTTGTCTTTTATCTTCTATATGATATATTATGAGTGGAGTATTGGAAGGGAGATTTATTGGCTTTGGAGATTGGGAATGGTTATCCTAGGTGTCCAGTACTACAGGTTGAAGAGAGAAATACTAGATCTGGACCTTGGCGAATTATTCATCAACGTTCAGTGTGCCAACCATGAGAGTGGGAGGCAACACAGTTTGGTGAGTGCACACCTGAGAGGGGAGCACTACACAGATTTATTTTTTTTTGCACAGGTATTCACGTGGTGATTATTTGATGGATTGAATAAGTTATTTTCATGAATCATTCATGAGTTTTTCACGTGGTGATCACTGGATGGACTGAATTTTTGGGACTTTTTTTGTATTATATAGATTATTGGTATTATTAAAATAAAGTCCATATCAGGGCTCCAGGTATGACCAGAGGTGTGTGGACTGACACAGGGAAACACAGGCTTCAGGTATAGTGTAAACAAGACAATTTATTGAAGACTAAACAACACAAACGCAGTGTAAGGTAAACATAACACAGTGCAAACAACCCACACCCAACAGATAACCATATATACAATCAAACGTAGTCGGGCAGGCCGGGTCGGTAGCAAACAGGCAAACGGTACCAGGAGCAAGCGGAAGAGTGGTCTGGAATACCCGAGGTCATTCAGAGTCAGGATCAGGCAGGAAGCAGACAGGATGCAGGTACAGGGGCTCATGGGAAACATACACCAAGGCACTGACTGCAGGTCTAGCCATTCCTTAAATACACCTCCTGCAATCAGCCTCAGGTGATGGCTGACTGCAGGAGTGAGTTTCTGGTTGCTGAGAGCAACCGCTGGCCAGCCCTGGTACTGCAGCCCACACGGCAGATGAGTCCCACCGCTAATGGTGAGTCCATTCCTGACAGTCCCCCCCCCCCTCAAGGAGCGGCCTCAGGACACTCCAAACAGTCCTTAGTGGGCAAAATGTTCTACCGCCCAGGTCAGGTAACTGACTGGATATCCTACTGCCGGAGTCAACCGGCTGGCTGGGTTTCCTGCTGGTAGTCTTCTCCTTGTGTAGGAGAACCCAGGAAGGAAGGTTACTGGACACAGCATCTCCCGGAGCAGGCTGGGAATCAGTTATTGGCCAGTTTAGCTGGACATCAGGGTTTGGCACATCAGGCTGGGCAGCGGACAGAGGCACATCAGGCTGGGCAGCGGACAGAGGCACATCAGGCTGGGCAGCGGACAGAGGCACATCAGGCTGGGCAGCGGACAGAGGCACATCAGGCTGGGCAGCAGGCACCGTGCCATCTAGCAGAACAGCGGGCACCGAGTCACCTGGCACGACAGCGGGCACCGAGTCACCTGGCACGACAGCGGGCACAGAGTCACCTGGCACAACAGCGGGCACCGAGTCACCAAGCTCGACAGCAGGCACCGAGTCATCGGGTATGACAGCGGGCACCGAGTCATCTTGTACGACAGCGGGCACGAGTCATCTGGCACGACAGCGGGCACCAAGTCATCTGGCACGACAGCGGGCACCGAGTCATCTGGCACGACAGCGGGCACCAAGTCATCTGGCACGACAGCGGGCACGGAGTCACCAAGCTCGACAGCGGGCACCGAATCACCAAGCTCGACAGCGGGCACGAGTCATCTGGCAGGACAGCGGGCACCGAGTCATCTGGCACGACAGCGGGCACCGAGTCACCAAGCTTGACAGCGGGCACCGAGTCATCTGGCAATACAGCGGGCACCGAGTCACCAAGCTTGACAGCGGGCACCGAGTCACCAAGCTCGACAGTGGGCACCGAGTCATCTGGCACGACAGCGGGCACCGAGTCACCAAGCTTAACAGCGGGCACCGAGTCGCCAATCTGGCTCGACAGCGGGCACCGAGTCATCTGGCAGGACAGCGGGCACCGAGTCACCAAGCTTGACAGCGGGCACCGAGTCACCAAGCTCGACAGCGGGCACCGAGTCATCTGACACGACAGCGGTCACCGAGTCATCTGGCACGACAGCGGGCACCGGGTCACCAAGCTCGACAGCAGGCACCGAGTCATCTGGTAGAACAGCGGGCACCGAGTCACCAGGCCGGACCACGGGCACTGAGTCACCAGGCCGGACCATGGGCACCGAGTCACCAGGCCGGACCACGGGCACCGAGTCACTAGGCCGGACCACGGGCACCGAGGCACTAGGCCGGACCACGGGCACCGAGGCACCAGGCCGGACCACGGGCACCGAGGCACCTGGCCGGACCACGGGCACCGAGTCACCTGGCCAGACCGCGGGCACCGAGTCACCTGGCACGACAGCGGGCACCGAGTCACCTGGCACGATAGCGGGCACCGAGTCACCTGGCACAACAGCGGGCACCGAGTCACCTGGCACGACAGCGGGCACCGAGTCACCAAGCTCGACAGCGGGCACCGAGTCATCTGGTAGGACAGCGGGCACCGAGTCATCTTGTACGACAGCGGGCACGAGTCATCTGGCACGACAGCGGGCACCGAGTCATCTGGCACAACAGCGGGCACGGAGTCACCAAGCTCGACAGCGGGCACCGAGTCACCAAGCTCGACAGCGGGCACCGAGTCATCTGGCACGACAGCGGGCACCGAGTCATCTGGCAGGACAGCGGGCACCGAGTCACCAAGCTTTACAGCGGGCACCGAGTCGCCAAGCTTTACAGCGGGCACCGAGTCGCCAATCTGGCTCGACAGCGGGCACTGAGTCATCTGGCACGACAGTGGGCACCGAGTCATCTGGCACGACAGCGGGCACCGAGTCATCTGGCACGACAGCGGGCACCGAGTCACCAAGCTCGACAGCGGGCACCGAGTCATCTGGCACGACAGCGGGCACCGAGTCATCTGGCACGACTGCAGGCACCGGGTCACCAAGCTCAACAGCAGGCACCGAGTCATCTGGTAGAACAGCGGGCACCGATTCACCAGGCCGGACCACGGGCACCAAGGCACCAGGCCGGACCACGGGCACCGAGGCACCAGGCCGGACCACGGGCACCGAGGCACCAGGCCGGACCATGGGCACCGAGGCACCAGGCTGGATCGGGTCATCAGGCTGGATCACGGACACCGTGTCATCAGGCTGGATCGTGTCATCAAGCTGGATCAGGTCATCAGGCTGGATCGGGTCATCAGGCCGGATCGGGTCATCAGGCTGGATCACGAACACCGGGTCATCAGGCTGGATCGGGTCATCAGGCTGGATCACGAACACCAGGTCATCAGGCTGGATCGGGTCATCAGGCTGGATCACGAACACTAGGTCATCAGGCTGGATCGGGTGATCAGGCTGGATCGGGTGATCAGGCTGGATCGGGTAATCAGGCTGGATCGGGTCATCAGGCTGGGTAGCGGGGCACCAGGTCATCACGCTGGATAGGATCATCAGGCTGGGTAGGATCATCAGGCTGGATCGGGTCATCAGGCCGGATCGGGTCATCAGGCCGGGTAGTGTACACTGGGTCATCAGGCATCAGGGCATCAGGCTGAACAACAGAAGGCGGGTTCTCAGACAGCAGGCTGACTGGTTTGGATACTGGTAGGATGGTACTGGTTGGAAAGAATTTTTGCTTCTTCTTGGGTTTAGTTACTGGGGCACTGCAAGTAAATGCAGGTCTGTAAATGGATGGAGTAGCTGGGGACAGAGAAGAGCTGGAGGGTGGAACAGAGGAGGGAATAGTTGTTACAGCTGCCTTTTTTACAGGGTTAAAGGCAGGATAGGTGCAGCAAGTGGGAACAGGGTACTGACGTGGTAGATAGCAGGGTATATTGGGCTGTAACTGGGGGTGCTGTCGGGAATGCAGGAATAGAGCTTTGAGCAGAGGAATGATTAGAAGCAGGACGGGTTTGTTGCAACCTGACTGAGGCTGGGTGTAACAAGTCTGACCAGGACTGTAGTATTAGTTAAACAAAACTCAGCTTACACATAGCCTGTCTGACCAAAGACTGCACTGCGTTTATACACTCCACTAGCACATGTGGTGAACATGCTGAATAATGTTCCCAGAAGCAATCCGGATCATCCTCCAACAACCATACCAGTGATTCTATTTGATCCACACTGAATGGTGGAAGAAAGTCATCCCTGCTTTCAGGGGTACTAGATGAAGCCAACTCAACACAAGCCTGAATCAATGGTTGCACCTCAGAGGACTCTGTGCCCTGATCTACTAGGGAATGAGCGACCCGTATGCATTCTAGCAGCTGATCCCTGGTATACTCCTGCAGAGTCTGATAGGCATATTCTCTGTCATCTAAGACTAGCAAATACAAGTATACCACCTCCTCAGGATGCATCCTTCCTAACAACAAGCCAAGATGGCTTCCCTGTGCAGCCACTTCTGGTCAGGAATGGCCTTGGTGTAATGTCAGGGCTCCAGGTATGACCAGAGGTGTGTGGACTGACACAGGGAAACAACCCACACCCAACAGATAACCATATATACAATCAAACGTAGTCGGGCAGGCCGGGTCGGTAGCAAACGGGCAAACGGTACCAGGAGCGAGCGGAAGAGTGGTCAGGAATAGCTGACGTCAGGACAGGTGGAGTTCATTCAGGGTCAGGATCAAAGCAGAGTCAGGATCAGGCAGGAAGCAGACAGGATGCAGGTACAGGGGCTCATGGGAAACATATACCAAGGCACTGACTGCAGGTCTGGCCATTCCTTAATTACACCTCCTGCAATCAGCCTCAGGTGATGGCTGACTGCAGGAGTGAGTTTCTGGTTGCTGAGAGCACCCGCTGGCCAGCCCTGGTACTGCAGCCCACACGGCAGATGAGTCCCACCACTAATGGTGAGTCCATTCCTGACAGTCCATATAATATCAGTGTCTCCAAACCAAAAATCTTTAACCTTCACATGTCAAATCACCCGTGTGGGGCATGCAAGTCACCTCCTGTGAACCGTATATGCTCACTTTCAGTTATTGACCCTAACCCAAAAATCAAGGGCACACACGCTTGTGCTCCTTCATGGGTTATACACCCGATGGCTCCTATTTGTACATCAAAACAGCTCCCAGAATTGCTCCTTCACTCTTCTTCTCTGTTCACGCATAGATATCGCTCATGCAAAAGGAATAAAACCAATATTGTTCTCCGCACGTTTCAGAATGTTTAATAAATGCTAAAACAAGACAGATAAAAATGCACACACAGTGCCAGGATTTGTGCATTGTATTGCCAGTGTAGAGGCAGCTTCCTCTCGCCACAGGTTTTGTACACTACTGGACAACTCCTAGATGACGTGCTGGCATGGCCCGCTCCTATATGCGTTATGCTGTAACGTCCGGAAGCAGACCTGACATGACATTACAGGAGACCAGATCAGCCTGGAAATTATGTCACCAAAGGCTGACTTTCTGAGACCCCGGAAGGCACTTTCCAGTCAACCTTCCACACGGAACTCCTCAAATTTTCACAAAATGGTAACCAAATGTACAGAAAACTCTAGACATATACCAGTGGGTCTCCAGCAGCATCTATGCAACACCATAAAGCAGGGGCGTCAAACTGGTGGCCCTCCAGCTGTTGTGAAACTGCAAGTCCCATCATGCCTCTGCCTTTGGGAATCATGCTTGTAACTGTCAATCTTGCAATGCCTCATGGGACTTGTAGTTTGGCAACAGCTGAAGGGTCACCAGTTTGACACCCATGCTGTAAAGGATACAAAAGCAGCATCACCCTTAGCAGATGCATGCCTATCAAATATGATGCAATATTAAATAGTGTACATATAAATCGATCTACCTATCAAATACACAAACTGCAATCATATAAATTACAAAAAAGATTAATATAGCCAAAAAATCTAATTGCAAAGTAAAAATAAAACAGCAATCAAAAACTTAAATATATCTGATGGTCAATGCGTTATACTAACAAAAAAATTCTACATCTATACCCATTATGCATCACTGATTAAACCATTTAGATCGAAATATAAATTTATTCTATAAGGGGACAATACCTTTGCTTCATATATCCAGTAGGATTCCCTTCTACTCATCTGTCTATAATGTTCCCCCCTCCAGTGTTTTACACACCATGTTTCTTCTCCCCATCTCTGATATTATTGACATGGAGTGGTCTGGAGGTGCGGCCACCATACTGCTAGCCACACGGACATTCCAGCATATAAATGAATGCTTTATTATTACGTGTCATAAAATCTTTGATAGTATATATTTTGTCAGTAGCTTTGGCAATAAATTCCTTCGTTTTCCTACTATTAACTCTGGTGGACCTACATCCCTTACATTTACCACAAGCAAAAAAGGACTGTTATAAATGACATCAACCTATTGCAATCCAGACTACATGGAGGGTCAATCAACCCTGGTGCAAACGTATTATGAAGAATGGGAGCCCCCTTCTACACAAATTGTGAATGTGAGGGTAATAAAGGTCCAAATACCTTATCCTTAAGAAGGATGTTCCAATATTTTGATTAATAATCCTTTTGGTTTCCTTATACGGTATATTACTTTAAATGAATTAATCTTTGTTCTTATTCTGTATTTTATCCTTAATCAACTTTTCTCTGTCCATCCTCCTGACATTTTTAATCTCTGTGTTAATCATTTCCCTTTGATACCCTGGGGATGTTAAACAGCAAGTTCTTGTGATGACCATTATCAATGGATAGGTGTGATCAGTCAGTTTAGAGAATTTTTTTGTAATAAACCTCCCCTTTCCATTATGATGTACAAATCTAAAAATGCAATATTCTTTCTATCCACTTGCCATGTCAATCCTGTATATAGTATTAAAGGATATGTATTCTTTAACATGGCAATAGAGAAGCATTGCTTCTAAACCTTTAACCCTGCATTGAAGGACAAGTTCACCTTTTAACAAAAATAATAAATGCGCATTTTTTTGCAGGTAAAAAAAGAGCATTTATTTTTATTATTTTTTGTTTATGGAGTCCTTAAAGCACAGATCTCCTGCAGACTTGTCAGTGTATCTGTGTTCCCATACATCTCATACTTCTGCCTACTTATGGGGTCTCTGAACTAAGTGTAGGCAGAAATATATGTGTATGGTATGTCATAGTATTCCTTTTTATATTAATTGGCAAGACTGTGCTAGTCTGCATCATAGAAACATAAAGCATAGTCTGTTTTCTGAACACTACACATTTTTTAAGCCATCAGTTTGCATGCAGACACCAGCTCAATTAGAGTTGTCAGAGCTGGAATATCCAGCTTCAAGGCATCTATAACTGACATCAAGACTGCCGTGAGAACTGCTAAAACTCAACAGATGCTAGTGTTTTTGAGCTCGTATTTTCAGATGCCCTTTCTGTAGACTTTACTTTACAAGCAGTATACCCAGTTGGACATACTAGGAACCTAGTCAGCTGGGTATGTGAATTTGTGAATGTATCTTCTGTAACCCTTTCAGTGCTAGAGCCAATGGTAATTTTACAGGGTTGTCAGTCTGTTTCTCCACTCCTTCAGTTGGACATTAGTAGAAGTGTCCAAACTATGGCCCTACAGCTGTTGAAATAACAAGTCACATCAATGAAACAGCGCGAAACATGAAATGAATCAAAACGAATTATACATAAATCATAATAAATTCTGTGGTTATAAAATAAATGTCCAAAACCACCAAAATTAAAAAAATTATAAAGTTTGTGTCCAAATACAAAAAGTGATGAAACCAAAAACAAAGAAAGTCCCCTTTAAACATGCAAATAGTGCTCCAAAAATGTTTTTTTAGGATAAGCGTAATACAGAGAAAAGACTCCACGGATCCACAGCTTCCTGTGCATACTGATGTATTCCGCACTCACCAGAGATAAGAATAAATTGCACTTTATGGATACAATATTGTCCTCCAATTCCCAGGGAAAATTTCCTCTCCATAGCCTCCTCCATATACAAGAGCTTCCGTACATCCAACTTACATCCAACTTCAAAAGGGATTTCCCCTCATAACGATGTGTTATATAGGAAGACAAAAGAGAACCAATAGTGCAATATTGCAAAGACTTTTAATTGAATAAAATAGTTCTCAATCTACTCACATGATAACTTAAAATAAGTCGCCAATTGACAAAATCCTCCAAAACAGACCGGATATGACGACACTCTCACCGTAGGAAACTGGATGTACGTCTGTCTGACGCGTTTTGCCCCTCCTCCAGGGCATTATCAAAGATCTAGATCTCTGGTTCCTCATCACTTATATACTACACTGGAGTGCCTCCCACCTAAGAATTAACCAATCAGAATTACTTATGGTAAATCGGGGATGTATCCAACCCACCCACAATGCCAAATAGTCATTAA